AAAAAAAAAAAAAAAAAAAAAAAAAAGAACGGACGCAGAGCGTAGCGAACACCCAACAGAAGTCGCGTAGATATAACCCTTCACTTAAAATCCCTCAAAGGCATCTCCACCATACGATAAACACAAGGAAGAACCAATTAGAAAGGGAGAGAGAGAGAGAGAAATATGTATTGTTTGAAAAAAAACAAAAAGAAAAAAAGAAAGAAAAGAAAAGTAAAGTCAGCCAAAAGATGAAGCGATGTCCATCCGGAGCCGACAAATTCTCGAAAGAGGTCCTAAAATATGGAACCCAAAGAGTCCCCAGGTCTATGTAGGGTGGGAAACCAGGGTGAGACACCGCAGTATAAACAATAGCTGATAGTGGGACCCGCTCTTTCTCCCAAGCCCAGGCCCACCTCTCACTCTCTCCGGGTTGCCCACCAGGCCCACTATTCTTCCTCCTTGGTGAAGTGTGTGTGTGTATTTATTGGGGTGTTTTCAAATGGACACCACCTAATTGCTATATCCAGGAATAACATGTATATCCAGTTCAACAAATTATATAACATTATTGGACACGCCAGTTGTGTTTTATTATTTAATGCTAAATCACAATCACCTCCCCATCTGTTATTTTATACAGAACATCTTTGATATGGAAGAGAAATGGTTGAATAGTCAAATGCTTGGGTACTTTGTAGTTTACTAATATCATGAAAGTCCCTTCCTACTTTTCTGAGATTTGCACCAAATTCAATGCTAACATTGCTCACTTACTTACACTTTGCCTATATTTAGTTCTGAGGTCTTGTTTCCAAGAAAAGGTTTTGAATGTCATTTGCTGAAACAGTTGGTTGTTTTCAGCTACAAAATATTAATGCTCTGACCGACCATCCATAGCGTAACTTACTCATCATATCTATCTTAATTTCAAGACTGCCATTTCCTTTATTTCCTTCGGAAGTGGGCTTTGGACAAGTTTTACATATATTCGAGTTGTGTAAACAAAAAGCCCACACCACTCACCCCTCTCCTCTCATGATCCATTCTTGTGTTAAACTAATTTCATTGAAGTAATTGAGGGAAACAACATCCTAAACTCAAATCCCAACCATGAGTAATTGTTGAAGTTATTGAGTCCGGCATTTCTGGACCAACACATTGTCCTCTACGCTAAAGTTGGTTGAACAGGTAAGCTAAGATTTTAGAATAATAAATGGCAAAACAACAAACAACAAACCTCCAATTCTAATTATAATGCCGCCCTCCTTCACCATTTTTTACCATCTTCTTATCTTCCCTAATTACAATGCTCTAATTCATCCACCCACTGTTACTATGCCTGAATTTGGGATGATTCAAGACAGACCCACCAAACATATCCCATTCATTAATCATTATCGACAAACACTACCCAACCACAAAAATACCTAACTTCACCAAATTCTTAATCACTTTAGTGGTTAGTGAGGCTCCAGGAAGCTCCAGCGAGGGAGGGAGCCCCAACTGGTTGCCTTTTGTAGGCCCCTGCTGCCCCCCCCTTCCCTCTAAGATTGTTGCAATACTACTATTTTTCCCATCACTTTTTCTTTTTCCCATCCCTTTCTTCTCCAGAAAATCAATTCTTCATTCTCATTTATCCTCTCCTATAAATTCCTCGTTCATCCATCTATCCATCCCTCATCATTTGTCAACAAAGTGGACGAAAAAAGTCCTCTTTTTTTCTTTTTTCTTCCTTTTTTTGGGGTTTCTAAACTTTTACTCCAATTACACTGAGGAATATGATGATGATCATCATCATAATTGGGTTCCTAAATTAATGTACATTCATTCATTCATTCATAATATTTCTACATGGGCCAAAATTTCTTTTTGGTTAAAGAAAAATAAAACTCATAAGCAAAATAAAACAAAAAAAATAAAAACCCTAGATGGAGGCGGCCTAACCAGAAACAGAGAGGAACCAAATTAGGAGACAACCAAGGGCATGATGATCGGGCGTCACATACCTCGGTGGCGCGTGTTGGCGTCTCTGAGTCTAAGAAAAGTATTCCCCACTTCATCTTTCATTGTCTCTCCCACTCGAACTCCCCATCTCCTTCTTCATCATCTTCTTCCGGGTCGGGTAATTTGTTCAAATCCATCCGATCCAAAAACCCGCTGCAGGCTTTCGTCTCTGGCGGAGACGCCGATGCGTGGGAATGATGGTTCCGATTGTTGTGATTGTGTTGGTGATGACCTAAGGAACTCTCCAGAGCATCCACTCGTGCGCCCACCTCCGTGGCTTTCTTCCGTATAGTAGCCGCCGACATGTCGCCACATCCACCGCCGCTAATTCCGCGTCCTTCCCCGGCTAACAACTCGGGAAAATTAAGCCTGGCGGAAGGGCCTCTGAGGTAATACACGGCGGTATCGTAGGCCCTGGCAGCGGCCACTGGAGAAGAGTAAGAGCCGAGCCAAATCCTGGAGCGCTTATTGGGTTCTCGAATCTCAGCCACCCACTTCCCCCACTTCCTCATCCTTATCCCTTTGTACAGCTTCTGATTGTGGACCCCTCTTTTTCTGGTACCCTCCCGACCTCCCTCTCCTCCGCCCTCCATGGCCCTCCAATTCCAAATCACACCTCTCCCTTGGCCTAACCCAGAATCTGAATCTTCATGAAAAGGAACAAAAAGGGCATGCGATTGATGAGCTTTGCTACTACAGCTACGAATTTTGTGGGATAAGAGAAAAGGGTTTGATTTTGGGTTTGGATGTTGCAATCTCCATTTCTCCCCTTCTTGGCTCTACTCCTACTCCTCCTCCTCCTCCTGCTACTGCTACTTCGCTACTTTGCCTCCAAGTTTCTCATCTCAATTACCCTCCCACGTTCATATATATATATATATATTTTTTCTTTTTCTTCCTTCTTCTTCTTTTCCGTATCTCAATAAATTAGAAATAAAAGGTTTATATTTATGTGCGCCCAAAGTGAAATTCACCGACAAAATCTCACCCCCTTTATATCAAACATTTCAATTCTTAATCCCATTTTAAAAGTAGCAACAGATTTTTAAAAGCGGTGCCACCTACTTTCTTCTAATATATTTTAATTATGCTTAATTTTAAAAATCTTATACCCATCTTTGCAGTTTTAAATAATTTATAAAAAATTTAAACCATCAGCAGACGGCAACGTGAATATATATTGGGTTCGTGACACTTCAAACGTGTCCACAGCTTTATTTCTTAAATAATTTTGTTCCAACCAATCATCGATGAAAACATTCATTGGTTTTTTCAATTTTTTTTTTTTTCTTTTTTTCTTTTTTTGCAGCTGTAGTGTGCCACGTGACATCTGAGTACAGTCTCACCTCACCACTTTTCTTTTTTGGTTAAAAATATAATTTATTTGATACTTCCCTTTTCATATTTGATCTCTACATCTTTTAGAAAAGATATTGATTGATTATATGAGTTTGAAAGCAATGCATAAAACTGATCTGATCACAATTTAATTTAATGTTTCCTAATATTACATGATTTTTTAGAGAAAGAAAACGGTATATATTAATATAAGATGGGCATTAAATAAAAACAAACCATAATTAGAATAGTGGAAGGGAAGTGGGGGAGTGGGACTGTCAATTTGTGTGACACCTCAAGTGGACTTCCAAATATATATATGTATTACTATATACTTTCATTCTTAAACTCACTAT